ACGATATTCCTTGCGACGTAAACATTGTCGTCCACTTATTGAGGAGTCGCACGTCCTCTTCGCGAAATACTTTGCGGGTTCACTATTAAAAAGTCCTCGTCGCCAATGTAATGTAGGTGTGTTAATCAAACGGCGGTTGGTACTGGACTGATTTATTATGAGTGAACTGACGGTACATTATATTAAGGTACCCTCATATACCACAAATATATAAAATACAATTAAAGGAAAGAATATTAACAATTTAACATTTGAAGCGTTAAAAGTGATTAACTTTAGTTGGCATGTGATTTTAAAAACTCTCTATAAGAAATGTGTTTAAACTCTCCAGTGCTGTTGCGGCAGGTAAATTTTCTGCACATATTTTAAAGACGCTTTTTCTTGATTCTCTATTATATAAATTAATGTCTAAGAACTTTTGAAAATATTAGGAAAACACGAAGTATAAAATATGTACTACTTAAAAAAATAAACTCTAAAGGTGTGTATGTATATTTAATGGAAATTAACCGAACTAATGTTAATGTTATTATAAATGCGAAAGTCTAGATGGGTGGATGGATATTTAGAGTGTGTAGCCTAAACGGCTTGTCAGATCTCGATGAAATTTGGCATAGATGTAGCGGATAGTCTAGAATAACACATGGGCTACTTTTTTTTTGAGTCCACGCAGACAGAGTCATTGTGACAGAAAAGTAGAACAAAAAAAAATATCATACTTTTTTCTAGCTTTCCATCAGACAAAATCAAGCAACTAGTAATGCTAACCAATAACTAAGGGAAGAATATAGAACTGAACACCAAAACCTATTCTCTTGCAGGGTCTCGTATTGGCAGCAAGTTGTTTTAATTCTTTTGGAGCTGGGATCTCTTTGTCTCATGTGGGCGTAGTCAATGCGGCTATATTATCTCCAAATGCTACTGGAATCAGAGCTACAGTAGACCAAGCTTCATGGATAGGTAATAAGGAATCAAGATTAACTGGTTTGCTGATGTGAACTGTATTTCGTTGTGTTTTAAATGTATTTTTGTTTCAGCATCTATTAAAGGATTTTCTGGATTAATTGGCTTCTTCATCTTCTCTCCATTATTTCAAATTATCGGCAGGAAGCCGGTCAATATATTATTTGACGTCGTTATTATTTTAGGTTGGGTTTTATTATACTACAGCCAGAGTATATCAATGATGATGTTTGCTAAAAGTATACAAGGACTTGCTATTGGTGGATTTATCATAACTGCGGTCACGACTAGTGAGTTTACCCATCGCAAGAGTAGAGGATTGTTTTTAACTATGAACAAAGTTGCATTATCATGCGGTTCATTGATGTGCCATTCTCTCGCTCTCGTTTGTGATTGGAGAGCTATAGGAGTTATCGCCTGTTTACCTGCTTTATTTAATCTGATAATATTCTGCATTTGTCCGGAGAGTCCTGCATTTTATGCGTTGAAAGGGAGATTTCAAGATTGTGAAAAATCATTCATTTGGTTCCACGGTGATTCTGAAGATAGTAGACAGGAAATGAAATTATTAATCATAGCTCAAATGGAAAGAATCAAAAATAAAGATGAAAATGAATTCTTGTTAGCGAAATTGTTGAAGAAATTCTTTCGAAGAGATTTTCTGATACCTTTCTTTATAGCTACTCTTGCGACATTCGCTGTGGATGCTAGTGGGAGATATTTCCTACTTGGATACATCACTCAAATTATGATTGAATTAACTGGAGATAAATATATTGGAATATATTGTTCGATGATATTTGATTGTTTAATGATTGGAACGTTATTTATATCGACTATCGTAATAAGGACATTTAAAAGGAGAACTGTACTACTTAGATTTGGAGCTGCGTCTGTGATTTTAATGTTTGCGGTATGTTTATCTGAAGTTATGAAGAATTATGTTAGTTCAAAATTTAAATGGGTTACTACAGTAACTATATTGTTACATAGTAGTGTATCTACTATTGGTTTGATACCTGCTGCGTTTACAGTAACTATGGAAATATTTCCCTTAGACCATAGAGGTATGGGTTCATTAACAGCGGGTGTTGCTTTTACATTATTTTACGCAATCACTATGAAAATAACACCCTTGATGATGGATAAAATTGGACTGAGTGGTACATATTTAGCTTTCGGTGTTTGTGTTGCATTTTGTTTGACGATATTATATTTTATACTTCCCGAAACAAAAGATAAGAGTTTACAAGAAATAGAAGATGAGATAAGAGGAATTAATAGGTCTCCTGCTGAGATTGAATTGATGATTTCGGGGGATGAAGAAAATCGTAAAGTTATTGAGTAAGCTACTAGAAATCTAGCTTGATTTTTTTAATAAATTAAATAAGTAAAACTCTGTATTAAATTTGTCATTTGTTAAAGGATTTTTTTTAAGATTCTTAAAAAAACAGCGCTTGACTACGATTCCACCTATAGTTAAGTGGTAGTATGGTCGAAAGATGTTACGCACTGATTTAATTACTATCCATTCACCCTTCTCTTGAGGGCACCCATACTTGGTGATATCTTTCGTGGTCTAACGTTGATCAACCATTCTGTTTAAATAATAGAGTATTCAATAATACACAAGTTGAATATTTTTAAGTACCCTACTCAAAATTAATGCTGACAAACATAAAGTTAAGTACCAAGTTCTTTAAGATAATTAGATGTCCGCAAAGCGACGTTTAACGCAATAAAAAGGTATTTTGCATAATTGCGGCCATGTGTCCTTTGTCACAAAGCGGATGCTATGACACTTGCCACATTTATGTTATATTTAAAAATTACGAAATTAATCCAATTGCATTTGCTATTCCTACTATGACTTGCAATTTAACTACACTTTCACATAAACGCTTAGTCTCGCTCGTTTTTAGTTGTGCAACTAAACAGTTGAATTGGCTGCGAAACAATCGACAATCGCACAGCAGTTGTACGAGTAGTTAGTCAAAGGTGTGCGCCCGCTCTAAATGTATTTGTTTTTCCATCTGTACTTCTTTTTCTCCTATTTTGTTGAAGGTATTTTGAGTTTCTGTAGTGTTTGAAAAACTATTTCTACTATTAAGTTAGTCTTTTGTAATGGTTAATTAACGGGATACAGAATAAAGGTACAGTAAAAATTGAATTTCGCATTTCCCTAACTCCCTCCACCCTTTAAAAAGTTTCCAGACATGTCTGGTGGCAACTGATTTGCAATCGAAATAGTTTAGAACTCAAACTTTCGAATTTTAGTTAACAAGTTTACCGCAAGAAAGTCTCTTTAATTCAATTTCAGTGTTAACTAGAGCAAACAATTAGATATTTTATTATTATCAAGCTTAAATTAGACAGAATTGATTAAAAGACATCAAGAAGGGATTGACTAACTATGGATTGTAGATCGCTATCATCACCAGCTCACGACACCCCCACTGAGAGTCTACCCTAAGGGGTGAGTAGTCAACCACGCTGGCCTACTACGGGTTGACTTCACACATATATTGGAATTTCTTTGCCAATATGTGCAGGCATCACGATGTTTTCCTTCACCGTAAGAACGTCGGATACATGTGACATTCGAAAATCACATTGTTACAGCGAGATTCGAACATAGGACCTGTAGATTACAAGTCAATTACTTAAACCTCGCTCACTAACTCTTCGCTTTCTCTCAGATCTTACTTAAGCGGGACGAAGTGAATTCCTAATAAGTTTAAATACACTATGTAAGAATTAAGTTAAGAATATGAGAGGAAGTTTGAAAGTAGCGTCAGTGGTGGAGAAATTGAGAAGCAGAAGGTTAGTGTGGTATGGACATATGCGACAAGACGATGAGGGCATAAACCAAGAATGAATGTGGATGGCTACAAAGGAAGAGGAAGAGCGAAGAAAGTATGGATGGATTGTGTGGAAGAGGATATTCATTTATTTATTGGAAAGGTACACCAATTGCATGTTCAAGGTTCACAACCAAATTAATATACCGTATACAATGAAAAACATAGAAGCAGAAGAACATACAGATGACAGGCGTACACAGCGCTCACAAAAAATGATGTTTTACTTTTTAATAACAAACGTTGAATCACGTTAATTACAACTAATATAAATTAGGGTACACATATTAAACAAAAACAATAAAAGAGAATACAAAAGTGTTACTGGTGATAATATAAGCCGAGATCTTTTTTGTTTATTAAGTTCAAAAATCGGGACATGGAGTCATGGAAAATGTCAACATCATGACAACCGATGGCTACAAAATCGTTATAACTGGTGGAGATTCTGTTAATTACAGAGTTCCGACCTACGTTGGTACGATAAGATTTCAGTTTGAACAGCTCGCATCTCCTGGTCCGTCTAACCGAGCTGCTACGAGGCACCGCGATGTTGACTTCAGACAGTAATTCGGGAACAAGCATTATACCTCGCATGATATTATATAAAAGCTTTAAATCTGTTGCCGTTCTACGATGTTCTAGTGACTTGATTTTAAAGTACTCGAGTCTTTGTGAGTAATTGCAAAATCGCGGAGCTGACCGATCTTTAAAGGCAAGCATTCTAGTAAACCTCTTTTGTACACGTTCGATACGGGTAATGTGATATTTGTAAGTAGGATTCCAGATTGAAGACGCGTACTCAAGAATGGATCTGACATATGCGTTATAAAGTATTTTTAACGGCGTAATTGTCTTAAAATCGGAGCAGGATCTCCTTATAAACCCTAGGGCTCTGCTGGCTCTCCTAACTACCTCATCAACCTGCTCAGCAAACGAGAGCTTTGAGTCCACCAGTACACCCAAGTCTCGAATGCAACTTACTTCAGCCAGCCGAACATCATCGATTTCGTAACTAGAATTTACTACTCGTTTCTTTTTTGTAAATTTTATATGATAACATTTGTTAGTGTTCAAAACCATTTTGTTTGCTAAACACCAAGTACTTACGGCGTTTAAATCACTCTGTAGTTCGTCGACATCTTTAAGAGTCTCAACCCTTTTATACAACTTAAGGTCGTCGGCAAATATAGAACATTTGGCATATTTTACAACGTCAACTTAAGAAAGGAGTGGTTTCAGGTATGACAGCTGATAGAGATGTATAAAGGAGCAGCACATACTGTGCCGACCCTCCGTAAGGGATAAGGGCAAGTTGATGATGATAAAACTATGTTAGAATTAGGTTATCAGTAACACAGTGGTTTATAAATTTAACAAATTCAAACATAAGGCGGCTCTAATTTAGGTGAATTACATGCCTAAGTTAATTACACGAACTTGGTAACTCGTTTTAAGATAATAAGCCTCGCTCTGAGCGACGTTAAACGCAATAAAAACTGTTTTGCATAATTGTCGCCATGTGTCCCCGGCGCCGACTGAATAAAGGTTACAGCACACTAATCATGACAACAAAGTCCTCGATTCAACAGTGACCTAAGACTATCCTATCCTATCACAGTTGCATTTGGCAATACTCTGCCCTTAATGGTATTTCCATACAGTTACAACGTTGGGGTCTTCATAAGAGAGTTCTCTTACAGGAACGCAGGTTCCTCTGGTGATGCGGATGTATATGGGCATCGTATCTGCTTTTATCACTCCCTTCTCTTATAAAAGGAAGGAAGCGAGAGATGCCAAGTATTTGGTGGATAAATGAGCTACAACCTTAAATCTCTTCGCAATATTTATGAACACATTAACAGAAAGTCTGTTTGTGTAAAAATACTAGCTGTTCCCGTGCGGCTTCATCCGCATGAAATTATGAAAAAAAAAATTTATCGTTTACATTTGTCAAATTATCGACAGCAAATGTCAAAATGACATGATTTGACAAACCTTAGCAATCTTGCTTTCTTGATGTTGGCATCGACTTGTGGTCTCTTTCCCACATTAGGGTTTTTATCCAAAATATTTAGCCCCTAAGCTTAATGGCGTGAAAGTATATAGCCTAAAGCGTGACGTAAGTGTAGGACTTTTTATTGAAAAGAGAATTATTAAAAAATATGGTGTAATTGCTGACATCTTAGGCAACAAAGAAGTGTGTGTTTACGCTTTATTATAATAGTATAGATTAGTGTTATAAATTTTTAAATAAGTAATTACAAAAGCTTCCTCACTATCAAATTACAAAAAATTATCAACACATTCGTCATTTACTGTCTACCAAAATTAAACGTGGTCTCACATTCTCATGTTCACTTAAGGTATATATAAGATTCCATTGAATTAAATCAGAAGGGTTTTATGGGGTCTTAAAACTCAAGTACCCGTATCAAGAAGGTCTCCAAAGTGTCATAAACATAACATTTGATTCAACTCACCTGACATTCGAGTCACGCTTTAAGGGATTCCCGAGGCCGTTCACTGAACTGCAAAGGGATCATAAAGTCAATGCTACAATGAACAGACAATATAATACCGCTACCGTTCTTACCGTGTTTCCACTAGCAAAATATTTATAAACGAGTTCTCTCCTGCAAACTACTTTAGCGCAAATTTGGATCACCCGTTACGCTATTTTGACAGCGCGGATCTAAAAAAAAAGTAGCCTATAATATGCCCGTCTATGTTAGCTACCCTTCAGTGAAAGTCCGGTTGAAATTGATCCAGCTGTTTCGGAGATAACACGGAACAAACGCGGCCTGCGTACAGACAATTTTTTTTAATACGATTTTTGTTATCAGCAACGCAAATACCTTCCCGTAATCTGGAATTTTCCCTTTGATATTACCAAGACACTTCAATTTTGTTATATGTATCGATAGATAACGGTTGTACGATTGTCGATTGTTTCGCAGCCAATTCAACTGTTTAGTTGCACAACTAAAAATCGAGTAGTGTGTGCACCTCCATTCAAGCTCATAGGAATCAAATCAAGACGACTTTGTGCGATTGATTAGTCAAAGATGTACGCACGCATTTAATTAGACATGTCTATGTTGGATTGCGTCACATGTATGAGCGTTTAAAATTTCAGTATTGCTTATATTTTTGCGAAGAACAAGATAAACCATGCTTTAGTAAAGCTCGCTAACTAAAGCTTAAATTAAATCAACAAGAAAGTTTTAAAGACGATTCGTGCTATGAGCGGAGAGTTAGGAAACTGAAAAGTGGCTACTTCAAGTACAAGCCACTTCTGGAAGTTACGTCACTCGGACTTTCCAATGTCTCGAGTATCTTGTATAAGAAGAACTTTCAAATACCTTTTAACTTAATAGAAGACTATACATTTCTGTAATAAAATGGCAAACGAGGAAGCGACCACATGAATCCGCCAAAATGGCAAAGCCACCGCTGCCCATGGATATCCGCAATTGCAGATTCC